CTTTCAATTCCTCTTTGGGAGACCCGAATAGCGTTCTCATCCTGTTTTCTTAGGTCCCAGGTCTCTGAGGCTTATGTTAATGCAGGAAGAACAGTGGAATGAAAGAGAAGGAACCAGCAAGCGAAGTGTGCTAGGAAGGCCTGCTCAGAATGGGAGATGTGGGCTGAAAGTAGACTATAGACTGAACATGAAGGCCACTCAATACCTATATTGCAAACCACAACACCGAAGAAGAGAGAGCAAAAGGGAATGCCCTGCCACAGAGGTGGGTTGGGTAGAGGCAACTGGGTGGGGGTGGTGGGAGGGATGTTGGGATCAATGATGGTGGAAAATGGGTATTGGTGGATGGATGGTTACTTTGCCATTGTATGACTGAAACGTGAGTATGAAAGTTTTTAAGTCTGTAACTGTACCTTACGGTGATTCATTAATAAAAATTTTTTAAAAAGAGAAGAAAGTCATAGTTTCTTAAAAGAACTTACAACATTTCTTACACATAAAGAACACTTGTATAAAAAGTTATTTATTGCTATAAGTGTTATAATTATTTGAATATTATTAAGAAACTTTGGTTTATCTTTTATGTTTCCTTGAAACTATGTTGAATAGGACTTAAGTTGTAGATCTTTAATTGCAATAATTATATCATTAAATCACGATCACCGAACTATAATGATCACAGTACTAAAGAAAAATTTTCAACTAGTATATGTATATGTGTACTAGATAACTAAATACTTTAAAGTGCACTTAATTTAGTCTTCACAGTAACATACCTCAAGAGAGAAAGCATTTTCACACTTTATATATATATGATAAGAGTTAATATACTAGATTTTTAAAGCACTAAGATATCAATCATAAGAAATTCAATAAGCTATTAAAATGTGGGAAGGAGAGATGTATAGACACTTCCCTGAAGAAGAGAAAGAAAACTTTTTCATTATAACTATTATGAGAGAAATACAAACCAAAACAACAATAAGATAGCATCTCAAAGCAGTGAAAACAACACACATGGAAAAAGACTGGAAACAATGAGTGTTGGCAGAGATGTGGCAGGGAAAAGAAACTTTATTCACTTTTGCTGGAATTTACTTCTGATTTTTCTCTATAGAAATCATCATTAAAAATCTCCACGTAACTAGGAACAGAACTCCCACTTGATCCAGCAATTTCACTTCTTGGCAGTTGCCCTTCAAACACACAAAAACGTCTATCCTAAAAGGTATGTGCAACCTAAGTCCAGTGGAACACCCTGTACAATAATCACAATGTGGAAGCCACTGAAATATTTGAACAGAGACGAATAAAATAATAAGTTGTGGTATATATACCCGATGGGACACAATACTGTTGTAACAAAGAAGGAATAATGCATTTCCCTATAACGTGGATGGGATTGGAGGATATGTTAAGGTAATTTAGTGGGCTGGAGTGATAGCACAGTGGTAGGACGTTTGCCTTGCACTCAGTCAACATGGCCGACCCGAGTTCGATTCCTCCGCCCCTCTTGGAGCAAACTACTGAGAGTATCTTGCCCACACAGCAGAGCCTGGCAAGCTACCCATGATGTATTCAATATGTCAAACACAGTAACAACAAAGTCTCCAATGGAGACGTTACTGGGCCCACTCGAGCAAATCCATGAATGGGAGGACACTGACAGTGACAGTGACAGATTAAGCTATCGCAATTAGAAAATTTACAAAACAGAAAAAAATATTCTTTTGAGGAAAAAGAAAAGGAGATAGTGTGTGCAAGAATGAGAGAAAATTTCAGAAATAAAAATTCATTATAGCGGCTGGAGCAATAGCACAGTGGGTAGGGCATTAGCCTTGCAGGCAGTCATATTGGGTTCAATTACCAGCACCCAGCACACCATATGATCCCCCGAGCATAGCCAGCAGTAATTCCTGAGTGCATGAGCCAGGAGTAACTCCTGAGCATTGCTGGGTAAGACCCAAAAAGAAAAAAAAAACCCACAATGATTCTAGTGGACATTAGAAGGGGAAGGTTGTGTTTATATATTGTTGGGTAATAAAATATCAAAAATACCTAAATTAAACTTGTAAATGCAACACATTAAGATTCCTTCATTAAATTTTTGAGCAATATAAATGAGATTTTTTAAATTTAAAACCAGTCGGGTTAGTGACTCTTGATTTGTATGTCAAGGTTATATAAAAATGTGCATATGAGATTTGTTTTATTTCCAGTAAGTTCTCTTCTACTCTCAGATATTACATGATGTTTACAAACTGATAAAAACCCCTGACAATCAGCATTAATTGGTTCTTTTAGTTCCATTAATGTTTTTCAACATTTTGGGGGCTTCCATTCACATTCGATAATGCCACCCTCGTAATGTCTCATGATCTCCCTTTCCAATTTCAGATGTAGTGGATCACTTTGCTACTCATGAGGAAGGGATGTTTTATGTAATAATCAGTGAGATTCTTGGAGATACTAGTTTTAAATTGGCAAAATGAATGTAGAAGAAAAAATATATATAAATAAAATTTTTCATTTAAAGATTTATTTGCTGAAAATGGAAGAGATCACTCACAAAGAAGAAATAGGTAATTACAAAATGGGGAACTTCATACATGTATTTATCAGCATATAAAATTAGGAAAGAGAATGAGTACACTGAAAGTTTGTTTTCAAATTAGAAGAAAATGTTTTGAATAGAATGAATGAAAGTGATAAAAAACCATGGAAAAGAAACTATCACAGATGATATAAAGGAAATATGTAACATTTACCTTCAATGTAGTTTTCAAAATATCTATTCTATCCATGCTCTAAGGACACCATCAACCACCAATATATAAGAAAAAACTAGAAGCAATTCTTCCCTAATAATATATTTCAATAATCTCGTTTGAAATCATAATAAAAGAGGATTTATGTAAAAAGTATGCACGCAGAAGGTTGTGTGTTTGCGGGCTCTCTGGACCACTCTGTATCACCGCCCGTGTTCGGTGCTCTTGAGCCGCTGTGTATGGCCTGGATTGTGCCGGTAGTTGGCCAAGGGCCGACAAAGGAAGACGCAAGAGCCAGGTTGGTAGGTCTCCATTGCAGTTTATTCCAATCCTCTCTTCCTTCACTCCTGACTCCTCTGCTTCTCTCTCCAACTCCCTTATCTCTCCATGCTCCATCTCCCATCTGAGCTCTCTCTCCGCTCCCCTGCTCCTGTGTTCTACTTTCTTCTCCCTCAGTCCTCCTTGCAAGTCTCTCCATCATGCCACCCTGCTTTCTCTCTCTCTCTCTCTCTGCTTCCTTATCTCTCCAGGCTGACACTGCCCCCAGTCAGGTAGCCAAATCAACATAAGAAAGCCCTTCCTGAGGGCTCACTAAGTTCAAAGGGAACACCACCTAGGATATTCCAAAGCCCTTCCTGACTGCCCAAGGGCAAAATAACCCTTCAGGTGTTTTTCTCTTTTCCTTAGTCCAGTAACTGTCAACATATCAATACTAGCTATTTTTGTATAGACACTGTAAGAGATAACATTGAGACTTGTAGGGAAGCTCTCCTGGGAACTACTTGCCACAGACTCAGAGTACATCACTCAGGCCAGATTAATCATTCCTATGCCTAGGAGGGTCCAAATGTAGTTATTACTTTTGAATCATGACAAAATTTGCCCATGACCAAGCTCTTAACTTTTAGTTAAGCATTATGGCACTTTGGTCAGGTCCATCTTGATGCCAGGGTGCAACATAGCTTACCGCTTGCCCTGGTTTGATCCAGTCCCTCATTGGGACCCTGATTTTGGGGACGCTAGGACATAAAGGCAGCTGAGGTTTGGTGAGAGAACAGATGACCAGGAGGGGAATATCACTGAGAGTAATATTACAAAAGGTTATCTACTTGTGTCCATACAAAATGGACATTGCTCTAAATAAACTATGCAAAGGACTTAGGAAGAAGAGAGAAACAATATTTACAAGTCAACAAAGCACAAAGAAAGAAGTTACCAGTAAACACAGAGGAATAGGAGCACTGTGATGGGAGCAACCCAATATACCTAAACTACCTGAAGCTATGCAGGAAGGACTAAACAGTGTTATCCTTCAGATTTATGTACATAAGATACAACCACAAGTAGAATATTCTGTTAAGGTGTATAGTTAAGGTTAGATTTTCAGTTTCTAGTGCTTTCCACATCCTTGTAGTCACTGGAAGATAGAGTGTGCTAGGGGTATGCTGTAGAATCTTGGTTCATTTTATTCACTGAAAAGTTGTTGTAGTAGGATTGATGGAATCACTTGGGTTTTTTTTCTGCAAATTTTAGCAACAACTTGTCTGGAATCAGGAGACTATAGATGTGGGAGTTTTTAATCTGATGAATTGTTCACGCTTATAATATCATACTCAACACTATATTAAAATATTATATCATTTCTACCTCTGTCTCTCCACATTGGGGTCTACTCTGGAACTTTATATATTAGAACACATTTTAGATTCAGTTTCTCACTGAAACATACAGACTGAGATTTTGGGCAGGTGGACATGGCTATTGAATAGATCCGAGAAGTATGGATAATCTTCTCCATTGCCCTTCTGGAGGATGTGATAGATCCATCAGGATGTCTGAGGGCAGTCATCTTGGTCTTGTAGTTGGCGAAGGACAGGTGGGCGTTGTGAATGCTTTTTCCACCTTCTGGCAGCAGCACTGCTTCTCTTCTCTCTATGAGGTCTTCCTTTATCACTTCACTGCACTGTTTTGCGAGCTTGGACATTTGCTTGCGGTTGCCAGAGGCTTGTGCCAAGCCACACTGGCAAATGAGCTCGAGAATTTTTAAAGACAGGTGTCTTTTTGTGGCTATCTCTCTCTTGGCGTTCTTCGCACAATCATGGAGGTGCTGAACTGGCTGATTGTATTCCTCATCAATCTTGTCAACAACAGCATCTTCCCATGTTGCCACAATAGTGCCAAAGAGCTCCCAGTTGGTGGTCATTCTGGGAGTTCTCTTCTTAAACTTTGCAGCCATTTCTTCCCGCTTTGCGAAGTAGAATTTTGCGTGAAGGAGATGCTGGTCTGATCTCGTTTGGAATTTTGAGACAACAGGAACATTTGTCGGGCAAAACCTTTGATTGAATATGGCGTGGTTAATTTTGTTGTGGAACCATCCAGCAGGAGACTCCCATGTACAACATTTAGATTCAGCCTTCTGAAATTGTGAGTTACCATGGATAATCTTGATCAACATGATGAACTCAGACAGTCTCAGGCGGTCCTTAATCATCAGGGAGATGCAATCAAATCAATAACAAGACATCATCTCAAAGGAAAAGAAAAAAGAATGACAAACTTTGATTTGATGGATATTAGCTAGAAAAAAGCAGTTCCTTACAACAACAGTGTTCTTAAAATGGTAGTCATTCTACAAAATGTGTACTCCCACACATCATCACTTTGTACCCCTTAAACTTATACACTGTCATATGTCCATTGTTTCATAATAAATTTGGGGAATAACAAAAAAAATGAAGAGAAAGAAAAACAGAGAGAGAGACAGAGAGACAATAACAGACAGAGACAGAGAGATAGAGAAAACACAACAGATCTAGACTAAGAGCAACAGAGAGGGAGACAGAGTAGAAACAATGCCAGACCAGGGCAAGAGCAGCGAGTGGACAAGCTGATGGCTGCCAGAATGTGCCAGGAGTTGCCTATCTGAGACAAGCCCAGACAAATAATAGGGAGCAGAAAGGCTGCTGTTCCCGTTATCTGAGATCACAGCTGCCCCAAAGCCTGACATGTGCCACCCATCTGAGATAACAGGGACATCCCTGAGACAGCTGGAGAGAAAGGGGCAACCGCCATGTTCTACCGTCCTCAGATCAGGTCAGTCTTTCCTCACCCCAGAAAAGTCCTATTACAGTTACATCTTATTGGCTTATTACAGAGTTTGGTACATGACTGTACTCTTAACCTATTATACTTCTTATGGCACTTGAACTGTCCCTTTACTATTCAGGGTAGCTACAGCTTCTCCTGGGTCCATTCAAATCCAAATTCCTCACTAGGACCCCCATTATAGTATAAGCAAATAAGAGTAACTGAGGCTTATGTTAAGTAAATATGCGGATTGCCGGAGTAAATATTATTTAGAGTCAGTTAACACCCAAGTTACAAAAGTATAGGTTTCACTGCCTTCCTGCATACAAAATGGACATTGCTCTAAAGTAAACTATGCAAAGGGCATAAAGAAAAGAGAAAAGCAAATTTTAATTACATTTACAAACCCAGAAGATTTGGCCTACAGGTTGCAGATTCTGCTTTGGGGATGTACTCTAATTTATTTGTTACCTTCTTCAATATATTTGAACTGCTCGAAGTACTTTATATTGCTATAGGAGTTTTAGATTCAGTTCTTTCAGTTTCTGAAATGTACCTGCTAAGATTTTGATTAGAATTACATTGAATGAACACATTAAGCATAAGAGAATTGTGTTCTTCCTTACATTGTGTCTTCCAATTTGTTACTTGTATCTTTTCTTGCATATTAGGTATATTTAAAATTTTCTCATCAATGAATGTATTTTTTAGTGTAGAGTCTTTATACAATTTATATATTTCTTTGAAAGTGTTTGAAGCTGTAGAAAGTGGACTTGAAAATGATCTGTTCTGATACCAGTATTTCAAAATGCAATAAATGATCAATTATTGACTGTATGTTCATCGATTATACGTTATAATGGACTGTATGTTAGTAGCCATGCTGGGACCACTCTCCACACACATGGATGAGCCTCATGCATAAAAGAACTGGGGGAGGAACCCAGGTGTGTGGGACCCGGGGCTGAGATCTCCAACCCTGCACGGTTTGGGACTGGACCTGCTAGTAGCTAGACAGTTACACACACCAACTGCCGTGTAACCCCAACAACGGCCAGTATCCAGAGATTATCACACCAAGCTCCAAGGAGTGTGCGGCCGCATTTGCGGCAGCGCAACTTTTTATTTACATTCTTTGAATTTTTCAGGGTACCTTAAATATCCCACCCACACAGCAGAGCCTGGCAAGCTATCCATGGTCTATTTCATATGACATATCCAGTAAAAAAAATGGATCTCATTCCCCTGACCCTGAATACGGCAGAATCGAGAAGGATGTGGAAGGAGAGGCTGATAAAATCCCAATGCAGAAATAGGTTGCCAAAACGAAGAAAGACAAAAATGATTGTCTGTACTTTTAATGCTCGTACGCTGGCATCTGATGCATCCATTGAGGACCTGATGGTACAAGCGCGAAAGATCAAGTACGACATCATTGGTCTGACCGAAATGAGAAGACGTCAATCACATCACGCCGTTTTCGACACTGGAGAAGAACTGTTCCTTGGAACATGTGACAAAAGAAGCATCAGTGGTGTCAGTATCCTTGTCAACACAAACTTAGCCATGAGCATTGATTCATTCGAATGCCTAACAACCCGAATAGGACGATTACACTTGAATAGAAGTGGCTCACTGCTGGCAGTTTCTATCTTTGTTGTCTATGCACCAACATCCAATTATGGTGAAAGAGAAATTGAGAAGTTCTACATGGAGCTGGAGAAGTTCTATAAAGATCACACCTTCTACAAGATCACTGTCGGTGATTTTATTGCCAAGATAGGACCAAGAAGATCAGCCGATGAATTCCCCATTGGGACCCATGGCCTAGAATGGAAAGAACAGGGTGACAGACTGACTAAGTTCATCATGTCAACCAGGAACTTCCATGGTAACTCACAGTTCCAAAAGGCTGAATCTAAACGTTGGACATGGGATTCTCCCGGTGGACAGATCCACAATGAAATAGACCACATCATATTCAATCGGCGGTTTTGCCTAACCAATGTTGCTGTTGTCCCAAAATTCCAAACGAGATCGGACCACCGTTTCCTTCGTGCAAAATTCTACCTCACAGAATGAGGAGAAAAGAATACAAAGTTTAAGAAGAGGACTCCCAGAATGACCACCAACTGGGGAGCTCTTTGGCTCTGTTGCGGCACATGGAAGATGCCGTCATTGACAACATTGATGAGGAATACAATCGAATGATTCAGCACCTCCGTGATTGTGCGAGGAATGCCAAGAGAGAGATAACCACAAAAAACCGTCTTTCTTCGAACACTCTTGAACTTATTCGCCAACGTGGCTTGGCACATGCCTCAGGTAACCACAAGCGAACATCCAAGCTGACAAAACAATGCAGAGAAGCCATCAAGGATGACCTCAAAGACAGGAGAGCAGTGATGCTGGTATATGTGGCAGAAGCCGGGAAAAGCAGTCGTAATGCCCGCCTGTCCTTCAGCAACTAAAGGACCAAGATGACTGCCCTCCAACATCCTGATGGATCTATCACATCTTCCAGAAGGGCAATGGAGAAGATTATTCATGACTTCTACTCAGATCTCTTTAATAGCCACTTCCACTTGCCCACATACCACATTTCGCATGATGGATATGTCATTCCCAATGTTTGCCCTTCTGAAATCCAACATGCCATCTTGTCGGTAAAGATACAAAGAGCACCTGGCCCAGACAAGATCAGACCTGAACACCTGAAGAACTTACCATCAGTACTCATCAATTCACTGGCTTGGCTCTTCACACGCTACCTGTCTGAATGCAATCCTGAATAGGATTAGCAGAACACTAGATGAAGGACAACCATGTGAACAAGCCAGATTCCGAAAAGGATTTAGTACCATCAACCATATCCACATGATTACTAAGCTCATTGAGGTTTCTTGGGAGTCAAGATGCCGCTCTGTCTAACGTTCACTGATATAAAGAAGGCCTTAGATTCTGTTGAGGCAGAAGAATCATAGAAGCCCTAGCCAATCAGGGCATTCAAGCCCAATACATAAAGATCCTCCGGGAGCTCTATTGCGGATTCACTACCAGGATCTCACCATTCTACAAAGAAGTAATCATCCATGTCAAGAGAGGGGTTTGGCAGGGTGATACCATTTCACCAAAACTCTTCAGTGCCACCCTCGAGAGCATCATGCGACAACTGGAATGGGAAAGAATGGGAGTGAAGAATGGGGTTGGCAACTGCACTACCTCCACTTTCTGATGACATCGTTCTAATAACACCAAACATCAGCCAAGCGGCACAAATGTTGACCGACTTCGACCGTGAGTGTCGAAAGGTCGGACTACAGCTGAATCTTACGAAGACAATGTTTATGAGAAACAGTCTCGTTCCTGACCCTCCATTCGCTCTCAAAGGCGCCACGATCTCCAAATGCAACAGTTATATATACCTAGGTCGAGAAATCAACATGATGAATGGTCTGGAACCTCAGGTGCACAGGAGGAAGAGAGCGGCTTGGAATGCCTTCAGGAGCATCGAAGATATAACTAAGAGGACAAAGAACCTCCAGCTATAAGCACATCTCTTTGATTCCACTGTTCTTCCTGCATTAACATATGCCTCAGAGACCTGGGCCCTACGAAAACAGGATGAGAACGCTATTTTGGTCTCTCAAAGAGGAATCAAAAGAGCTATGCTTGGAATATCACGATTCACTGAAATGAGAGCTAGAATCCGGAGTTCTGATCTCTGTCAACACTCAAGATTCAGGGACGCTGTCTCATTTGCCAAGGCATCAATAATCAGATGGGATGGACACGTAATGAGGTTTACAGACAACCGCTGGACTAGAGCCATTACTGACTGGATTCCACAGGACGTCAAAAGATCACATGGTCGCCCACCTACAAGATGGTCAGACTTCTTCGTCAAGACCCGGAATGCTCGGTTTGAGGCTCTGCATGTTCCTAGAACAAACAGATGCCATTGGGCTATGCAGCACGCAACAGGGATGAATGGAGACGTTACTGGCACCCGCTCGAGTAAATCAATGAATAACGTGGGATCAGTGATCAAGTGATGTTAAAGGATTTGTTCAGTTCTCTTATGATAGAAACTTCACAGGTTGCTCTGATTTTCTATGTAAACACTATTATCTGTGATGAAAGGTTTTTAATTTTCCCATCTCAGGATTTAAAACTACGGTTTATCTTTTATGTTTACTTGGAACACTATGTTGAGTAGGACTTAAGTTGTAAATTTTAATTGCAATTCTTATATC